ACGATGTGAATCGAAAAAGGAAAAATGAAGTATTCGAAACGTACATGAAGTTCAAGTACACGACCGAAACGCAGACCGGGCGGAAGCTGAAAGTTCTGAGGCCGGACAATGGGACCGAATACGTCAATATACCGTTCAGACGCAGCATGGAGAAGGATGGAGTCGTCACCAAAAGACTTGACGAGCCTGCGCTCCCGATGCAATCTGATAGACCATCTGAAGAGCAAGGGTTTAGGCACAGTGTTCGGGCGCACCGATTTCCCTGCGCTTTGGTCAGATAGCGTATAGGGCATCGTTGTGCCAATTTGGTCGTGGCACATTTCGAGTATGAGAGAGTGATTGCAGTTTGCTCAAAAGTGCCTGAGTAAAATGCAAGTATTTTCGATGATTACCCGTAGTTGTTACAGTGAAGATATACACCCATATTCTCGTTTATGTCTGGACGTGTTTATCATACAGAAACATTTTTATTTGATTTTGTGTGGTGCATGGGTTTCGGGCGTGGACGGGCATATTGGTGATAATATTAAGTTTACGTTAGGATAACGTTGAAAAATTGAGATATGTATCGCTTCAGTTTGAGAAGCACTTCACTTTGCAACCGATGAACCATTCTGACGGCCCACATTACCGTGCAGGCGCCGTGTGTTGGCAGGGTCCAATATTGGACAGTTTTATGTTTCTAAAGTACCATCAGTTAAAACTGTATTTTTCAGCTTTATCTCTATACATTCTTAGGTGTTTATTAGAAGATTATCATGGAGGTGTACGCAGATTCAATGAGTAAACGGTAGTAACATTAAGCGGTCCATAGTTGGGCGATGCTGAACTTGTGGTATTTGCACAACATTTCATGTGAGTACCAAAGTAACCATATAACAACAAAATAATTTTAAATGTAGGTGCAGAGTGAGACAATGCCACTGAGATATGGTTAGTTGGGTATTCAGATGAAACTATTACTTTAAAAAACTAATTCACCATGTGCCCCTTCTCGGAACGAGTGTATTGTTGATGGACCTGTTCTACGATTCAATGATGGATTCTGTGATGATGAGTATCACAAAAAAAAGGTAAGAGGTAAAATAAGTAGCACGATCTTCATCGAAATGTAAGTATTATTGACAATAATAATAAAAATCAATTCGTTTATACATTGAAATACTTATATAAAAGAGAAGGTCCAACAGGGCACCTGATTGAAGCGATTTGATAACATTTCGTGGATAAAGGGCGAGCTCTTATCCCCACTCATTGGGGCATCTTCCTCCTGTTTGGGGCTTGTCTTTTTGACCAATTGGCTGATCAAGTTGCTGGAAGGAGATTCTTTATTGTTCCGTAGATGCGTATAGGCGACTTTGCCTATCGATCTACCCAATCCGTTTTTGGCCCTTCATACAGCGACATGTTGTTATTAAGCTTGATCAAGACAAACAGAGAAGAGAGCCCACTGCTGTCGGACTTAGTTTCCGTGCTACAATGGGTGGAAAACCACTATCATCTATCATCAGTGGTTGGGCGCGCCGATTTCCAGGCAAGTATTTCGATTATGTTACTTATAGTTCGTTTACTGGTAAAGTTGTTTCACCCCAGCCCTCACCGATACAATCTGAGATGCTGTCTGATGACCCCGAAGGCTACAAGGAAGCGACCAACAGACCGGACCGTGAACAGTGGATCGCGGCCATGCTTGAAAAAATAGCTGCTTTGGAAGAAAACAAGACGTGGGAGTTGACGAACCTTCCAAGCGATCGTAAGCCTATTCGTAACAAGTGGATCTTCAAAACAAAGCGAGGAGCAACTGATGAAATCGAGCGGTACAAGCATAGAGGTAACTCAAAGACTAGTAGGTCCCAAAGAAACGTGCTCAACTTTTTGGCTTTGATCTGGTACTATCTTCGGTCCCAAGCTAATCGATTCACCCCTCGAAACATTTGAAAATTCAATAACCCCTCATTTTATCTGTCAAACTTTCTTAGCGAATCAAAACAAACATTGTATAGTACTAGAATTTTGACTAAAATGGGGTACGTTAATCGATTTGCTTAGGACCAATAGGCTAGTCAAGTAGTGAGCCAATTTAAAATCGTTAGTTTCATATTGATTGTTGGTACAAGGCTCGTCTGGTCGTGAAAGGGTGCTCGCAGCGGCCAGGCATCGATTTTGACGAAGTGTGTGGTACGGTATTCCACCATCCAATACCATCTGGCGCTGGCAGTGAAGCACGACTTGGATGTGGAGCAGATGGATGCTGTCACCGCGTTCCTTCAAGGGAAGCTAACAGATGAAGTCATCTATATGTACCTACCGGAAGGGTTTGCCGGTAATTCGAAGGAAGTCTGTCTTTTGCGAAAAGCACTATATGGCCGTATGTGGAACAACCAACCAGCTGGATGAAGCGCTGAAGGAGTTTGGACTGCAGCGGTCCAAAGTTGATCCATGCCTGTACTTTCGTCTTACATCTATGTCGGCGATTTATTAATCTTCACCAACAATGCCAAGTTAAAGCGGAAGTTGAAGATGTTCCTTCACAATCGCTTCAAAATGACGGACCTTGGCGAAGCGATTTTCTGTCTCGGATAGAAGATCACACGAGATAGGAAGAACGGAAAGCTGCGGGTAGATCAGGAGCACTACATCGACAGCATTTTGCGACGGTTCAATCTGGCGAACTGTAATTCAGTCTCCACACCAGCGGAGGTTGGTGTCAAACTGGATAGGTCTATTGCACCGACGACGCAAGAAGAGATCAGCGAAATGAAGCAGGTTTCTTACCAGGAGGCAGTTGGTTGTCTGGTGCAGGCGACGCGGTCAGACATCAGTTTTGCGGTCAACCAACTTAGCCAATTCAACAGCAATCCCGGACGTAGCCATTAGAATGCTGTCAAACGCATCATCCGGTACCTGCGAGGTACTAGTTCAGTTCGGCTGTCATACTCAAAGGAGCACTGCGAATATTTAGTTGGCTACACAGTTGCCGATTGGGGAAGAGATCCGGATTCCAGGAAATATACAACCGGTTATGTTTTCACGTTCATGGGAGGAGCGGTGTCTTGGAATGTTAAGCGACAACCAATAGTGGTGCTATCCACATGCGAAGCGGAATGCATCGCGCTTTCCCGCACTACCCAGGAAGCATTATGGTTGCACCATTTCCAGTCACAGATTGTTGGTATGCCTGAGATTTCGATCCGGTGTGATAATCAATCAGCCATCTGTATCGCACGTAATCAAGGCTACAATCCCAGAACCAAACATCTAGACATCAGGTATCATTTCGTCAAAGATGTGCTAGAAAGAGGAGTCGTCGAGAGGACGGTTTCACCAAACCGCTGATGACTGAGAAGCTGGAATAATTCAAGATATTATTAGGATTCTTAGCTTATGCCTTGTTCAGATTGGAGAGTTATAACATGTTATAACGGTTGTCAAATAATTGCAACACAGAAACCACCATCAAGATAGTGCTATAACATGTTATTACTCTGTAGTCTGAACGTACTATTAGGAAAGAGTGTTAGAAGAGATCGAAGTAACCTACGGTTTCCTATGCTATGTACATATTGCCTTGTACATACTACTGTACCTTAGCAACCTACGTAGCAACAGTAGTTGTTGAATCGAAATAAATTTTCACTAGGCTTTAGCCACTCGAGCCGAGCGGACTTATTTCTTTTACTCTGTGAAAATTATCAAAACTATAATCACATCACTTATCAAGGTGAATCCTACTACTACAAACTTAACCTTCTAACAAAATATCCCTCCCGTGATCTTTGTGGGGATACAGATATACTTGGTCTCAAATTCAGCAAAGATCACGCACTAACATTCTCTTCTAATTCCTACACCTGATTGCAAGGACGTGGCCGGCGCCGTTATCGATCCTTAAATATTTGGAGTCACTGAATGTTGTACAGTGAGAATGATCGACCACTCCCAGTCAGTCATTCAGTTGATGAATTGTGCAATTTCATTGGTTCAGATCAATCACAGAGTAGCAGCAAACCATTGATATGTGCAGTTAGTCTAAGCTAAGCTAACATCAACATTATCTGCAAAAATGCAAAGAGTAGCTAAATGTTAAAATAAAACTCACGTCAATAAGTGTTTTCACTGATAGTCCATTTTCTATCGCAAAAAAAAAATCACAGATTTTCGCATAAATGCAAATCCACTATTTTCTTTGTATGTATAGCAAACTCAATTTTATCGATTATTTTGTGAAATATCAGTTTGTGTGTAGAAATATACATGCCAAGTATTGCTAATTTTGCGCCAAAGTAGACTACTGCACTAAAAATAATCCATCAAAAATAAATTTCGCTCATATAAAAAAATCAATAACTTTCAAAGTTCTATCACCAGCATGTCAATATGAAACTCAATTGAAAAATGTAACACTTACATTCAAAATTTTAGTATTTATTATTTAACTGGGTTGAGCAAAAATAATTCTAAGGGTTCTTTTTTTGCGCAGCGGTCTACTTTGATGTAAAATTCACAATATGGTGTGAAAATTAAAGTAGGTTAGGAAAAAACATTAATACGAAAAAGGTTTTTTTGCAAGTCTCTTTAAAAACGCTAACATTCGCAAATTGATAACAAACCTTAGGATCCGTAAAAAAAATATTCCAGGGTCCTGTTACCAGATTTGTCTTGGATGATTTGGAACAAGTTTCACTTTATTTAATTGGAATTTTAGAATTTAATATATGAACGAATATCGCGTAAAAACAGCGTTGAGTGTATACAAACGGCTTGAACAGTTTTCCATTACCATTGGAGTTGTGGTCAGGCGCGATATACCACTAGGGGATTCAAACATGATATCCACTCATGAGGAAAGTTGGGGTCCTAGAATTAGTGAAAGCATGTGCATGGGAAAAATCATTTAAGAATCGCCCCCATATATGTAAAAGGATTCTGGAAGCATCAAAATAATTTTTTTTTTAATTCAATTTACCTTATAATATTTATACTTTAAACTTTCGTTACAGGTTCGGGAACGTTTACGACTTTCATTAGAAAAGAATACTGAGCTTGAAGAAGAGCTATGTCAAGCAAAAGAAGAGGTAAATATTTATTGCAATTTTCAATATGGTGTAGCAATATGTTTTACGAAAAACAAAAATGCTTTTCTGCAATATTAAAACAATGAAATGGTCCTTAAACTTTGAAAAAGCTCTAGAGGTAACTCTAAGACCAGAAGGTCCCGAAGAAACGTGCTCAACGTTTTGGCTCAGCTCTGGTACTCTCTTCGGTCCCAAGCTAATCGCTCCACGAACCCCTCATTTTATCTGTCAAATTTTCATAGCGAATCAAAACAAACATAGTGAAGAAGTAGAATTTCGACTAGAATAGGGTACGCTTATAGATGTACTTGGGACCAATAGGCTAGTCAAGTAGTGAGCCAATTTAAAATCGTTTGTTGTTGATTCCACCGGTTGCTTTTACTACGTAGCTACCCCGTGTTTTTTTTTGTCACAGGAATGGAGATACGGGCAAGCGTCTAGAATAAGATACTAAAAGAAGGTTCTAGAGACAAACCTTCCAAATGACTCTTCTTGATGCATGGTCACTTTTATGTAAATATAATTTAAGTTTCGCAAAGTATTATTAAATTTTTTTTACCATCTATTTTTGTATTTCAATATTAATTATCGTTCACGTTATATATGTACCAATTACATTTGTTCATTTTGTGGAATAATAACAAGTTCACTTAAGTTAAACTGAAATCACTATTACAAATGAAATGGATTGTAAATCCGCATAAAAACGAAACGCTTGCATACAAGCTGCCTTCCAAATTTCTTTTTTACAGCCACTGAAAACGTTCACTGGCTTGTGAGACTCGTTGTAAAGTCCAAGGTTCAAATCCGAACCATTCTCTCTCGTTAAAAAAAAAATCAATCGAACCAGAAATAGATTGAAGCGAGACAGATTAACCAAATGGTATGAGCGAGAAAGAGTTTCAATCGGCTCAAGATCGTAGTTGATGAGTTTTGTCGTTTAAAAAGGTAGTTAATTACTTCGGTAATTAACGTGCTTCCGGCCGCGAAGACTATGATCACGATTTGATCTGAGGGTTTTTGCAACGTCCACTCGTCCATTTAGTCTTGGACCGTAAAAGTGGCGAGAGTGCGTGAAATAGTTCTTGTGTCGCGGTGTGTTTAAATTGGTATATTAATTATAGTTATTAAAATGTGAGAAGTCTTGTGATTGAATTTAATGTTACTTTTCGTTTCCTTCGCATAGCCTGAAAGTTCAGCAGCTAGGTCAAAGTTGACGTGCGGTCAAATTTTTGTGTGTGTGTTCGTATAGAGAAAAGGTAATTCGTGGATAATTGTTTTGTGTGGAGATTGTTTGTTAACGCGTCGAACAGCCGTTCGCCGACTTTTTATTTACGATTCGCTTCTAGCGATACACGGCACACCGCATCTTTAGTTAGACGCTACTCTCGACCCCACGCTTCTGCGTGAGGGGAAAGCCGGAAGAGAACAAACCGTTCTGACTGAGCGGCCATTTAGCCATTCCCGCCACACGTGTAAAAACACTGACGTTCCCCAACGTCGTCTGCAGCGCCGATCCATTTCGACCGAGTTCAGTACCAGTTTCGAGACCACGCATCGACTGGGAATTTCCGCAGCATCATTGCCGATCGCGGCATTTCGGGCGATAGCCACAATACCGCCGCAAACCAGCCGGTATCTGCTTTGCCGACCAATTCATCGTGCAGCTGTTTCGGTACCGTGAGTAAAACAAACAATTAATCAAACCATGCGCATGCGTTAACTACACCATACACACCACGAAAGAAGAGCTCGATGAGCAAAAATAACTAGCGATCACTAGAATAAATCCGCACACAGTAGGGAAACTAAAGAAGAAGAAACACGAATATGAAAACCTAGGTTATACAATTAAATAAACTTACTTAAATGTTTTAAAGTAGTTTACCCCAATAAATGTTCATTCGTTAAATGTTAAAATTTTCCATGTAAATTAATTTTTGGTTTCGAGAGTTCTCACATTTCGCGTCGTTCTACATTTTTGTTGTTGTGTTTTTTTACGCTAGGTTAGACTGCCTGGGGAATCAGTCTCGATCGGTGGGGATTTATTTGATAAGTGAGTTCCTCCGGTGATGATACTGGTGAGTGACGTTTTCGTGAGAAGGTAGAACGACCGGTAGCAACAATCATTCTACTTTCGCGATTGAGGCGACCTCTACTTGTGGAGAATCTTGATCCATCATACCATTTGAGTCTTCTGTTTCGTTCTCAATTTTAAATTTTTGGTTCTGATTGAAACAAACCCGCCTAACGGCGCCGGTGGTGTAGTGGTAAGCGTGATAACCTCTCACCCCAGCAGGCCTGGGTTCAATCCCAGTCGGCGCCGCCGGGATGTTCTGAGGCATAACATCTCTGATCACGCCTTCCTTCGGATGGGAAGTGAAGCCGTTGGTCCCCGGTTCATGAGTTGATGGGTCGATAGGTAGGATCCAGGTGTGGGAGCTGCCTTCCTGTGGCACGTCGGTAGCATTGGTGCTCAGCACGGAAAACAAGATCGACGGAAAAAACAAACCAAAGGAAAAAAAAAAAAGAAACAAACCAACCCTGAGGTCGGGTTTCTAGCCGGGCTAAGATTTTGTGACGAGCAACGAATTAGGTATAGGAAAAACGTCACGATAGCCGTCAAATTCGTCGGTGGCTCTGAATGCGTTTGCTACCAAATGGATTAGTCGATAAAGGTACATTCTCTCCATGGAAATCAAATGCTCTAGTTGCTTTCCGGTAAGAGGCTGGCACAATTTGTAACTGGCGCTTTTGCGCTAAAGAGAAACGCTTCAAATCAAGAACTGTCTCCTCGTCATTAATCACCCTGATGTACTCCGTTGCCGCAGTTGGTCTCCCAAAAACATTTTCCATCCAGCGTAAAAAGTGCCCAGCCAGCTGCGTCCCATCAAAGGAACAACATCTTGTTCGCAACGTAGACTTACCAAAAACTGCCTATGAAAGTCTCCTAGCTGTACCGACACCTCACCCTTTCCTAAAACTTTCAGTTTTTTTACCATCGATAACAACTAGACGCTTGCTGCATGCCTTAACAGAAAGATTCCTAAAGTTACGCAGAAACAGATCCTCAATCGGATAGAACTCAATTTTTGAGAAGCGAGGATGAAACAAGAGGTTGTGGTAGCTCGTTTGGGCCGAAGACAAGAACTTACACCAAGTAGGTTAAATTTCCGAAGCAGAAGTAAAGGGTGTCCACGATGAAATTGCCACACACAAAATTGATTCGCAAAATTCGAGTTTTCATCCGATTGCCATCAAATTTTCAGGGATTGAGAAATAACTATTAAACTTCATTTTCCCATTTTACTCGTATTTTATTTACAGTCCATACGCAAATGCCCGCACCTTGGCCTTAACCCCGGCCATAAGATTCTGCACAACCTGTGAATCAACCGTTTTTTGCATGTAAACCCATACTTTCTTCAGTTCCTCGACTGTCTTCACTACCCTAGGTCGTTTAAGAAGGTGCTGCTTCATAATCGCCCAGTACTTCTCGATGGGGCGGAGCTCCGGAGTGTTGGGAGGGTTGAACATTTTCGGCACGAAATTGACCTTATTGTCCGCATACCACTTCAGCACGTCCTTGGAGTAGTGGCATGAGGCCAAATCCGGCCAGAAGATTGTTGGGACGTTGTGGGCCTTCAGGAGAGGAAGCAGCCGCTTCTGGAGGCACTCTTTTATGTACACCTGTCCGTTCATCGTGTCCTGGGTCACGAAAGGTGCACTCCGCTTCCCGCACGTGCAGATGGCTTGCCAAACCAGGAATTTCTTCGCAAATTTGGACATCTTCTGAGTGCGGACATGCTCCGGAACGCTGAACTTATCCTTGGCCGTAAAAAACAGGTTGCCGGGGATCTGTTTGAAGTCGGCCTTCACATATGTTTCGTCGTCCATGATGCAGCATTCAACTTTCGTCAGCATGTTGAGGTACAACTTCCTGGCACGGGTTTTGGCGGACTTGTTCTGCTTCTCGTCGCGATTAGGGGCCTTTTGTACCTTGAACGTTCGAAGCCCAGCCTTAGTTTTGGCCTTCTGGACAAAACTTCGGCTTAGGTGCAGCTTCTTAGCCACATCCCTAACGGAGGCGTTCGGATTTCGGTTGAAGGCCCCAACTACGCGGTTGTGATTTTTGGTGTTGTACGGAATACTTTTTCCTTCACTTCTGGGCTTCCGATCGGTGGTCAACCGTTCCTCGAACCGCTTAATCACTCGCGACACCGTGGAATTCGCGATTCCCAACGTTTTAGCGATGGAACGATGCGAGAGATCCTTGTTCTCGTGATGAATGCGCAAGATTTTTTCACGCACGAGCTGTTCTTTCGACTCCATTTCCGCGAGTTTTGATCACAGGACTTTAAAACTTGCAGTATGTAAATAATGCACTATGAACTAAATCCACCCAAATTTTCATTAAATTCTACCCAACGGTTAAAAAGTTAGAGCAATTTCATAGTGTGGCAATTTCATCGTGGACACCCTTTAGAAGTTGGAGTGACAGCAGAAATCGATCATTTTCTTTTAGAAACAGAAGTGGTGGAAGATATGGCTATAGAAGAAACATTAATTTCGATAAAGAGTTTTTATATTCGTATTGCACGAAGAAAGGTCATGTCAGGAAGTATTGTCATAAGCTCAAAAACAAAATTCCTCGCAAATTCAAATCCAGTGTAAAGTTTATTGATTCACCTAAACCTACCGATTCAGGAACTTCAGGATTATTCAAGCGGCTAAAGGAGAATATGCAGATGAAGATTCTCCTTGTTTATTGATTTCAACTGTAAACAAAATTGTACCTTTTTATGTTGATTTAAAAATTGAAAACAAAAGAATAACTAGGCTGCGGATCAGTGGAAAGTGTAATTTCTGAAGGCCGACGCACAATGCATACGTTTTCGGGTTTTTTGACAGATAATGCATGGGCTAATTTAATGCTATGTATCACATCGGAGAATTTTTTTTTCATAACGCTGCTTAAATTTTTTCGTTATTTGTTTGTACTTAAGGTCCTTTAAACTCTGT